ACATTGAGATACCATCTCACGCCAGTTAGAATGGCGATCATTAAAAAATCTGGAGACAACAGATGCTGGAGAGGATGTGGAGAACAAGGAACACTTTTACACTGTTGGTGGGAGTGTAAATTAGTTCAACCATTGTGGAAGATGGTGTGGCGATTCCTCAAGGCCTTAGAAATAGAAATTCCATTTGACCCAGCAATCCCATTACTGGGTATATATCCAAAAGACTATAAATCGTTCTACTATAAGGACACATGTACACGAATGTTCATTGCAGCACTGTTTACAATAGCAAAGACCTGGAATCAACCCAAATGCCCATTGATAATAGACTGGATTGGAAAAATGTGGCAGATATACACCATGGAATATTATGCAGCAATCAGAAATGATGAGTTTGTGTCGTTTGTAGGGACATGGATGAATCTGGAAAACATCATCCTCAGCAAACTGACACAAGAACAGAAAATGAAACACCGCATATTCTCACTCATAGGCGGGTGATGAAAAATGAGAACACATGGACACAGAAAGGGGAGTACTAAACACTGGGGTCTATTGGGGGGGAAAGGGGAGGGCCAGTGGGAGGGGGAGGTGGGGAGGGATAGCCTGGGGAGAAAAGCCAAATGTGGGTGAAGGGGAGAAGAAAAGAAAGCACACTGCCATGTGTGTACCTACGCAACTGTCTTGCATACTCTGCTCATGTACCCCAAAACCTATAATCCAATAAAAAATTTAAAAAAAAAAAAAAAAGAAATAGAAATTCCATTTGACCGAGCAATCCCGTTACTGGGTATATGTCCAAAGGACTATAAATCACTCTACTATAAGGATACATGCACACAAATATTCATTGCAGCACTGTTTTCAGTAGAAAGACCTGGAACCAACACAAATGCCCATTGATGATAGACTGGATTTTGAAAATGTGGCACATATACACCATGGAATATTATGCAGCAATCAAAAACGATGAGTTTGTGTCCTTTGTAGGGACATGGATGAACCTGGAGAACATCATTCTCAGCAAACTGACACAGGAACAGAAAATGAAATACCACATATTCTCACTCATAGGTGGGTGATTAAAAATGAGAACACATGGACACAGGGAAGGGAGTACTACACACTGGGGTCTATTGGGGGGAATTGGGGAGGGACAGCGGGGGTGGTGAGCTGGGGAGGGATAGCCTGGGGAGAAATGCCAAATGTGGGTGAAGGGGAGGAAGGCAGCAAAACACACTGCCACGTGTGTACCTATGCAACTATCTTGCATGTTCTGCACATGTACCTCAAAACCTAAAATGCAATAAAAAAGAAGAAGGAATTATTTTCATCTGTTTTTCACATATGAACAAATGAATTCGAGATGACTCAGTTACATGCTCAGGAAATACAGATAATAAGGGAAAGTTTTGGGACTCCCAGTTTGTTGAGCCCCAAATCATGATGGGTTGCTGAACCATATTATTTAAAGTCTTCTTTTCAATATTTAGTTTTTATGATTTTAATAAACATTAATTCTGACAATTATGTGCCTTGCGTTGCTCTTCTTGAGCAATATCTTTGTGGTGTTTCCTGTATTTTCTGGATTTAAATATTGGCCTGCCTTGCTAGGTTGGGGAAGTTCTCCTGGACAATATCCTGAAGATTGTTTTTCAGCTTGGATTCATTTTCCCTGTCACATTCAGGTACACGGATCAATCACAGATTAAGATTTTTTACATAATCCCATTTTCGTGTACATGTGTCCTTATAATAGAACGATTTATAGTCTTTTGGATATATACCCAGTAATGGGATTCCTGGGTCAAATGGAATGTTCATTGCAGCACTGTTTACAATAGCAAAGACCTGGAATCAACCCAAATGCCCATTGATAATAGACTGGATTGGAAAAATGTGGCACATATACACCATGAAATATTATGCAGCAATCAGAAATGATGAGTTCGTGTCGTTTGTAGGGACATGGATGAATCTGGAAAACATCATCCTCAGCAAACTGACACAAGAACAGAAAATGAAACACCGCATATTCTCACTCATAGGTGGGTGATGAAAAATGAGAACACATGGACACAGGGAGGGGAGTACTAAACACTGGGGTCTATTGGGGGGAAAAGGGGAGGGCCAGTGGGAGGGGGAGGTGGGGAGGGATAGCCTGGGGAGAAATGCCAAATGTGGGTGAAGGGGAGAAGAAAAGCAAAGCACACTGCCATGTGTGTACCTACACAACTGTCTTGCATGCTCTGCTCATGTACCCCAAAACCTATAATCCAATAAAAAATTTAAAAAAAGAAAAAAAAATCCCATTTTATTGGAGGCTTTGTTCATTTTTTTTTAATGAATTGTACTTTTAGTTCTGTGTTACATGTGCACAGCCTGCATTCTGCATTTGTACACACATGCCATGGTGGTTTTCTGTTGCATAGGTACATACATGTTATGGTGGTTTTCTCTCTCCTTCCTACCCTTCACTGTCACCTATATCAGGCATTTCTCCCAGTGTTATCCCTCCCCATCCTTGTTGCCCCCTTTTTGTACCTCCTTTTTCCTCCCTTTCCCCTCACCTATCAGTGAGTGTTGTTCTTTTTCCTGTGCCCAAGTGTTCTCATTGTTTATCATCTGCCTATGAGTGAAAACATGCAGTGTTTGATTTTCTATTCTTGTGTTACTTTCCTGAGAATAATGGTTTCTAGATTCATCCGTATTTCTAAAAAGGACACAAAATCATTTTTTATGGCTGCATAGTATTTCGTGGTGTATATGTGCCACATTTTCTTTGTTCAGTCTATCTTTAATTGGCATTTGGGTTGGTTCCAGGTCTTTTCTATCATAAACAGCACCACAAGGAGCATATGTGTGCATGGGTCTTTATAATAGAGCAACTTATAATCCTTTGGGTACCAGTAATGGGATTGCTGGATCAAATGGAATTTCTATTTTCTAGATCTTTGAGGAATTGACATTGTCTTCCACAATGGTTGAGCTAATTTTTTTTCACTCTTTTTTTCTGTAATCTTGCCTTCTTTTATTTCATTGAGTTGATCTTCAATCTCTGATATTCTTTGTTCTGCTTGATTGATTGAACTATTGAAACTTTTGAATGTTTCAAGAAGTTCTCTTGCTGTGTTTATCAGCTTCGTCATATAGTTTATGTTCTTCTCTAAGTTGGTTATTCCAGTTAGCATTTGGTCTCACATTTTTTTCAAGGTTTTAGTTTCTTTGCATTGGGTTAGAACGTGTTCCTTTAGGTCAGAGAAGTTTGTGGTTACCCACCTTCTGAAGCCTGCTTCTATCAATTAATCAAACTCGTTCTCCATCCAGTTTTGTTTCCTTGCTGGTAAGGAGCTGTGATTCCTTGAAGGAGAGGCATTCTGGTCTTTGATAATTTCATCCCATTTTTCTGTGTATTTGTCTGCTTTTGATCTTTGAAGTTAGTGATTTCAAATGGAATCTCTGAGTGAATGTTCTTTCTGTTGAGGTTGAAGCTATTTCTTTTTGTTTTTCCATTTTTCTTCTAACATGCTCCTCTGCTGTATGAGGTGTTTTGTTTGTTTGTTTATTTGTTTTTGGTTATACCAGGAGCAGGGAGCCTCTTGAGGAGCCAGTCTGTTTTTGTCTGCCTGCGGAGGTGCTGCTGGGCTACCCCAGCCTTGGGTTGGTTGCTGTGTAGGCTCCCTCTGGCTGTCATTTACACAGGCACAGGTGAGATTAGAACCCCTTTTGCAATGGTGGATGTCCTTTCCCCTACTGAGCTTGATTGTCCCAGGTCAATCTCGAGATGATGATCTGGCCATAAAACTCTTAAGCAAGAGGGCTTCAATATACTGGTCTTTATGGGGGTGGGATTTGCCAAGCCGTATCAACTGTCTCCCTGCTTTTAGCTCTCCCTCTATCTGGGAGGTAGGTTGTTTCATTTTGTTGGCACTCTTGCCATTAGTCAAAGCCTCTGCCCTGTTTTCTGCCAACAACTCGTGGCACCTGGCCAGCCATAGCTGTCACTAAGATCTGTGTTAGTAACTTGGGGTGCATTTCAGCTCAGCAGCAATCTCCTGGACTGTGGTTTGCAATGGCCATGGAAGAAGCACACTATTTGAACCAGGGTGCCAAGAAGTTAAAGTCCCTGATCTTCCAGTCCATTGCACTTCCCAGGTGGGGCAGCAACCCACCCTGCCTTGTTTTGCCCTCCTAGGGCAGTCCCATTGAAATGAACCTGGTGCCTCATTTGGAAATGTGGAAATCACTCACCTTCTGCATCTCTCTCACTGGAAACCGGGCTCCAGAACTGTTTCTATTCAGTCATCCATATACAGTTTTAAAGTGCGTAATATGAATGGAACATCTGTAAGAGTGATCTAACATTTCTAATAGAACTGTAACACTCATAAATGAAAAAAAAAACACTCATAACACTAATGTACCATTCACAATACAAATATAACAATCATACCCATAATAGAACTGTGACACTCAATACAAATATACAATACACAAAACTAATAAAACTTTGTAACACTCTTGTAACATCTGTAATGCTGTACTGACACCTGTAATTCAATTGTAATACTCAGAATACCAATATATCATCTACAATACGATCATAAAAACTGTAATACTGATGGAACAACTGTAATACTTACCTAACACCTGTAATACTAATATAACACTCATAATAGTAATATAGCATTTGTAATACAAACAGATAATAAGACTGTATAACACATATAATTACTGATGTAATACCTGTTATACATATGTAACACCTGTAATACTGACATAACATTTCTAGTCTTACCAGGGCACTTGGTTTGACAGATTTAACTGAGCTAGATTTGGGTTAAATTTGGCCTTTATAATAAAATTTGATGTCTGTCTCTGCTTTAGTGACATGATGTTAACCTTGTCGTTTTAAATTAAAAGGGTTTACTTCCCAATAGTTTTATACTTCTAGAAAACTTGCAATAGCATTTAGCATATCTTTCCTTTCTCCTAAGTTCTCTGTTAATTATTGATGTGCCAGATTTGCAGCTTCATGAAAAATCACCCAGTGTATTTTACCAAGAGCAGGAATACTGTCCCAGGTTACCACCACATAACTACCAAATCAGGAAACATACAATTTTTTACATGGAAGTACCAACTATAGACCTATTTCACTTCAACACCTGCTTCAGCTGGGATAAGAATGTTTTTTTTCATGTGAGCCCAATTTTCCTTTTCTGCAGAAACTCTTCCTGAGACTCATTCTCAGTTTTCACAGCCTTGACAGATATAAAGAGCAATGATAACTCCAAGCTGTGTCTATCTGGAATATTTTTTCTGAACAGACGCAGACCTTACATTCCTGGCTGTGACACATTGGCATGGTGTTATTCTCTCCTCAGTGCAGCCCACTTGGAAGAGTACAGATCCGTCCTGCCACCACTGCTGATCTCACTTGGTAATAGCAAAATATTTATATAGAAACACAAATTTTATCATGTCACTCTCCTGATTTAATTTTGCCAGTGTTTTTCCACTAACCTAAGAAAAGGACCACAGAACTCACCAAGTACTTCTGCTGGTTTTTCTCTCACATTTAGTTTACTCAACTAAGCTCTGGGGTGTGTCTGGGATTTTATGTGCATTTCCTCAACTTATTCACCCAGTGCCATTCTTACCTGGTTTTCTAAGGCTTTTCCAGCTGAATCCTTAAAGTCACAGTACTTGTAATATCTAACTGTAGAAAAGTTAATTATATTGTGTGTCTAAAAGTTAATTACGTAGTATGTCTAAAGTAATAATTATTTAAGGTTGTTTTTTTTCTGTCCAGTTCTGTGAAGTAAGTCATTGGTAGCTTGATGGGGATAGATTTGAATATACAAATCACTTGGGGCAGTATGGCCATTTTCACAGTATCAATGCTTCCTAACCAAGAGCATGGAATGATTTTCCGTAGTTTGTGTTCTCTCTTATTTCCTGCACATTGCTTGTTAATTATATTTTTAGGTATTTTGTTCTCTTTGTAGCAATTGTGAATGGAAGTTCACTCATGATTTGGCTGTTTGTCTATTATTGGTGTATAGGAATGCTTGCAATTTTTGTACATTGATTTTGTCTCCTGAGACTTTGCTGAAGTTGCTTATCAGCTTAAAGATACTTTGGGCTGATATGATAGGGTTTTCTAAACATACAATCCTGTCATCTGAAAACAGGGACAATTTGATGTCCACTCTTTCTGTTTAAATTCTTTTTATTAATTTCCCTTGACGGATGGCCCCAGCCAAAACTTCCCATACTATGTTGAATAGTGGGTGAGAGAGGACATCCTTGTCTTTTGCCAGTTTTCAATGAAAATGCTTCCAATTTTTGCCCATTGAGTACGATATTGGCTGTGGGTTTGTCATAAATAGCTCTTATTATTTTGAGATATCTATATTATTGATAACTATTTTATTGAGTGTTTTTAGCATGAAAGACTGTTGAATTTTATCAAAGGCATTTTCTGCATCTATTGAGATAATCATGTGGTTTTTGTATTTGGTTCTGTTTATTTGATGAATTACATTTATAGATTTGTGTATGTTGAAAGAGCCTTGCAACGCTGGGATGAAGCCAAGTTGATCGTGATAAACTTTTTGATGTGCTATTGAATGCGGTTTTTCAGTATTTTATTGAAGATTCATGCATCAATGTTCATAATAAATATTGGCCTGAAGTTTTCTTTTTTAGTTGAGTCTCTGCCAAGTTTTGGTATCAGGATGATATTGGTCTCATAAAATGTGTTAGGGAGAATTCCCTCTTTTTGTATTGTTTGGAATAGTTTCAGAATGAATGGAACCAGCCCCTTTTTGTATGTCTGGTAGAATTTGGCTGTGAACCCGTCTGGACCTGGGCTTTTTTTAGTTGGTAGTCTATTGATGGCTGCCACAACTTCATCCCATTTTATTGGCCTATTCAGGGTTTCAACTTCTTCCTGGTTTAGTCTTGGGAGAGTGCAAGTGTCCAGGAATTTATCCATCTCATTCAGTTTACTGGTTTGTGTGCATAGAGTTGTTTGTAGTAATATCTGATGGTAGTTTGTATTTCTGTGGAATTGGTGATGATATCCCTTTTAACATTTTTTCATTGCATCTATTTGGATCTTCTCTCTTTTCTTTTTTATTAGTTTGGCTAGTGGTCTATTTCTTATTTTTCATCTTTTCAAAAATCCAGAACCTGAATTCAATGATATTTTGAACTTTCTTTTGTTCCTATCTTCTTCAGTTCTGCTTTGATCTCAGTTACTTCTTGCCTTCTGCTAGCTTTTGCATTTGTTTGATCTTGCTTCTCTAGTTTTTTTTTATTGTTATGTTAGAATGTCAATTTTACATCTTTCCTCACTTCTCTCAGAAGCACCTAGTGCTATAAATTTTCCTCTAGACAGTGCTTTAAATGTGTCCCAGAGATTCTGGTACATTGTGTCTTTGTTTTCATTCGTTTTGAAGAACATCTTCATTTCTGCCTTCATTTTGTTATTTTTCCAGTATGCATTCAGGAGCAGGGTATTAAGTTTCCATGTAGATGTGCGGTTGTGAGTGAGTTTCTTAATCCTGAATTCTAATTTGATTGCACTGTGATGTGAGAAACTGTTATGGTTTCTGTTTTGTTGTTGTTGTTGTTGTTGGTTTGTTTGTTTTTGCATTTGCTGAGGAGTGTTTTATTTCCAGTTATGTGGTCAGCTTTGGAATAAGTGTGGTGCTGGGAAGAATGTATGTTCTCTGGTTTTGGGGTGGAAAGTTCTGTAAATGTCTACTAGATCTGCTTGGTCCAGATCTGAGTTAAAGTCCTGAATATCCTTGTTAATTTTCTGTCATGTTGGTCTGTCTAGTATTGACAGTGGGGTTTTCAAATCTCCCACTATTATTGTGTGGAAGTCTAAGTCTCATTGTAGGTCATTAAGAACTTACTTTATGTATCTGGGTGCTCCTGTATTGGGTGCATACACATTTAGGATAGTTAGCTCTTCTTCTTGCATTAATACCTTTACCATTATGTAACGTCATTCTTTGTCTATTTTGATCTTTGTTGATTTAAAGTTCATTTCATCACAGACTAGGATTGCAACCCCTTCTTTTTCATTCTCTATATGCTTGGTAAATATTCCTCCAGGCCTTTATCTATACCTTTGTGTGTGAGATGTGTATCCTGATTACAGCACACCAATGAATCTTAACTTTGTATTTAATTTGTCAGTCTGTGTCTTTTGATTGGGATATTTAGCCCATGTACAACTAACAGAAAAAATAACCACCTAGCATCAAAATGGCAGAATTAAATTCATACAGCACGATTTTTTTTGAGTATATATATATATATATTATTGAATTTTAGATTTTGGGGTACATGTGAAGAACACACAAGATTTTCCACAGCTACACACGTGGCAGTGTGATTTGCTGCCTTTCTCCTCTTCACTTATATCTGGCATTTCTCTCCATGCTATCTCTCCCCAAATCCCCACCCCCTGATGTCCATCTCCTATTTCCCCCCAACAAACCCCAGTGTGTAGTGCTCCCCTCCCTGTGTCCATGTGTTCTCAATTGTTCAACACCTGCCTATGAGTGAGAATATGCAGTATTTCATTTTCTGTTCTTGTGTCAGTTTTCTGAGAATGATGATCTCGAGGTTCATCCATGTCACTACAAAGGACATGAACTTATCGTTTTTGATGGCTGCATAATATTCCATAATGTATATGTGCCACATTTTCCCATTCCAGTTTATCATTGATGGGCATTTGGGTTGGTTCCAGGTCTTAGCTATTGTAAACTGTGCTGTAATGAACATTTGTGTGCAAGTGTCCTTATATTAGAAAGATTTATAATCCCTTGGATCTATACCCAGTAATGGGATTGCTGGGTCAAATTGAATTTCTATTTCTAGGTCCTTGAGGAATTGCCACACTGTCTTCCACAATGATTGAACTAATTTACATTTCCACCAACAGTGTAAAAGTGTTCCTATTTCTCCACATCCTTTCCAGCATCTGTTGTCTCCAGATTTTTTAATGATTACCATTCTAACTGGCTTGAAATGCTATCTCAATGTAGTTTTGATTTGCATTTGTCTAATGACCAATGATGATGAGCATTTTTTCATGTTTGTTGGCCTCATGTATTTCTTCTTTTGTAAAGTTTCTGTTCATATCCTTTGCCCACTTTTGAATGGGCTTGTTTGTTTTTTTCTTGTAAATCTGTTTTAGTTCTCTATAAATTCTGGATATCAGCCCCCTGTCAGATGGGTAGACTGCAAAAATTTATTCCCATTCTGTTGGTTGTCGATTCACTGTAATGACTGTTTCTTTTGCCATGAAGAAGCTGTGGAGTTTGAATAGGTGCCATTTGTCTATTTTGGCTTTTGTTGCCAATGCTTTTGGTGTTTTGGTCATGAAGTCCTTGCCTAAGCCTATGTCCTAAATGGTTTTGCCTAGATTTTCTTCTAGGGTTTTTATGGTGTTAGGTCTTATGTTTAAGTCTTTAATCCATCTAGATTTAATTTTAGTGTAAGGTATCAGGAAGGGGTCCAGTTCCTGCTTTCTACACATGGCTAGCCAGTTTTCCCAATATTATTTATTAAACAGGGAATTCTTTCCCCATTGTTTGCTTTTGTCAGGTTTGTCAAAGATCGGATGGTTGCAGATATGTTGTGTTGCCTCTGAGGCCTCTGTTGTGTTCCATTGGTCTATATATCTTTTTTGGTACCAGTATTATGCTGTTTTGATTACTGCAGCCTTGTAGTATAATTTGAAGTCCGGTAGTGTGATGCCTCCAGCTGTGTTCTTTTTGATTAGAATGGACTTGGATATGCATGCTCTCATTTGGTTCCATATAAAGTTTAAGGTGGGTTTTTCCAGTTCTGTGAAGGTCATTGGTAGCTTGATGCAGACAGTGTTTAATCTGTAAATTACTTTGGGCAGTATGGCCATTTTCACAATATTGATTCTTCCTAACAATGAACATGGAATGTTTCTCCATTTTTTTCTGTCTTTTTCCATTTCGTTGAGCAGTGGTTTGTAGTTCTCCTTGAAGAAGTTTTTTACATTTCTTGTTAGTTATATTCCTAGGTATTTTGTTCTCTTTGCATCAATTGTGAATGGCAGTTCGTTCTTGATTTGGCTCTCTTTAAGTCTGTTATTGGTGTATAGGAATGCTTGTAATTTTTGTACATTGATTTTGTATCCTGAGACTTTGCTGAAGTTTCTTATCAGTTTCAGGAGATTTGGGGCTGAGATGATGGGGTCTTCTAGATATAAAATTATGTCATCTGCAAATAGAAACAATTTGACTTCCTCCTTTTTTATTTGAATACCCTTTATTTCTTTTTCTTGCCTGATTGCTCTGGCTAGAACTTCCAGTACTATATTGAATAGGAGTGGTGAGAAGGCATCCTTGTCTAGTGCCAGATTTCAAAGGGAATGTTTCCAGTTTTTGCTTATTCAGTGTAATTTTGGCTGTTGGTTTGTCATAAATAGCTTTTATTATTTGGGATATGTTTTATAAATATCTAGTTTATTGAGGGTTTTTAGCATAATGGGCTGTTGAATTTTGTCAAAGGCCTTTTTTGTGTCAATTGAGATAATCATGTTTTTTTTTGTCTTTCAATCTGTTTATGCGATTAATTACGTTTACATACTTGCATATGTGGAACCAGCCTGCACCCCCAGGATGAATCCTAATTGATCATGTTGAATAAGCTTATTGATGTGCTGTTGCAATTGTCTTGCCAGTATTTTATTTAAGATTTTTGCATCTATGTTAATCATGGATATTGACCTGAAGTTTTCTTTTCTTGTTGAATCTCTGCCGTGTTTTAGTATCAGGATTGATGTTGGTCTCATAAAATGATTTGGGAAGAATTCCCTCTTTTTGGATTATTTGGAATAGTTTCAGAAGGAATGATACCAGCTCCTTTTTGTGTGTCTGGTAGAATTCGGCTGTGAATCCACCTGGACTTGGGCCTTTTTTGTGTGGTAGGCTCTTAATTGCTGCCTCAACTTCAGACCTTGTTATTGATCTATTCAGGGTTTTGACTTCTTCCTGGTTTAGGCTTCAGAGGAGGCAAGTGTTTAGGAATTTGTCCATTTCTTCCAGGTTTACTAGTTTGTGTGCATAGAGTTGTTTATAATAATCTCTGATAATGGTTTGAATTTCTGTGGAATCTGTGATAATATCCCCTTTATCATTTTTTATTGCATCTATTTGGTTATTCTCTCTTTTCTTTTTTATTAATCTGGCTAGTGGTCTGTCTATTTTGTTAATCTTTTTGAAAAACAAGCTCCTGCATTTATTGATTTATTGAAGGGTTTTTTGTACCTCTATTTCTTTCAGTTCTGCTTTGATCTTAGTTATTTCTTGTCTTCGGCTAGGTTTTGAGTTTTTTTGTTTTTTCTTTTTTTTGATCTTGCTCCTCTATTTCAATTTTGATGATAGGGTGTCAATTTTAGATCTCTCCTTGCTTCTCATGTGGGCACTTATTGCTATATATTTTTCTCTAGAGACTGCTTTAAATGTTTCCCAGAGATTCTGGTATGTTGTGTCTTCATTCTCTTTGGTTTTGAAGAACATCTGTATTTCAGCCTTCATTTTGTTGTTTATGCAGTCAACATTCAAGAGCCAGTTGTTCAGTTTTCATTAAGCTGTGTGATTCTGAGTTAGTTTCTGAATTCTGAGTTTTACCTTGATTGCACTGTGGTCTGGAGACTGTTTTTTATAATTTCTGTTCTATTGCATTTGCTGAGGAGTGCTTTACTTCCAATTATGTGGTCAATTTTTGAGTAGGTGTGATGTGGTGCTGAGAAGAATGTACATTCTGCGGATTTGGGGTGGAGAGTTCTGTAAATGTCTATTAAGTTTGCTTGTTCCAGGTCTGAGTTCAAGTCCTGGATATTTTTGTTAATTTTCTGCCTGGTTGATCTGTCTAATATTGATAATGGAGTGTTAAAGTCTCCCACTATTAATTTGTGGTAGTCTAGGTCTCTTTGTAAGTCATTAAGAACTTGCCTTATGTATCTGGGTGCTCCTGTATTGGCTGCATGTATATTTAGGATTATTAGCTCTTTTTGTTGCATTGATCTTTTTACCATTATGTAGTGTCCTTATTTGTCTCTTTGGATCTTCGTTGCTTTAATGTCTATTTTATGAGAGACGAGTATTGCAACTACTGCCTTTTTTTCTCTCCATTTGCTTGTTAAATCTTTCTCCATCTTTTTATTTTGAGCTTTTGTGTATCCTTGCATGCGAGATGGGTTTCCTGGATACAGCACACAGATGGGTTTTGGCTTTTTATCTAATTTGCCATTCTGTTTCTTTTGATTGGAGCATTTAGACCATTTACATTTAGGGTTAATATTGTTATGTGTAAATTTGATACTGCCATTTTGATGCTAGCTGGCAGTTTTCCCCATTAGTTGATGCAGATTCTTCATTATGCTGATGCCCTTAACCATTTGATATGTTTTTGGAGTGGCTGGTACTGGTTGTTTTTTTTTTATGTGTAGTGTCTCTTTCAGAAGCTTTTGTAAAGCAGGCCTGGTGGTGATGAAATCTCTGAGTACTTTCTTGTATGCAAAGGATTTTATTTTTTCTTCACTTATGAAGCTTAGTTTGGCTGGATATGAAATTCTGGGTTGAAGGTTCTTTTCTTTAAGGATGTTGAATAATGGCCCCCATTCTTTTCTGGCTTGTAAGATTTCTGTTGAGAGATCTGCTGTGAGTCTTATGGGCTTTCCTTTGTGGGTACCAAATATAAAAACACAAGGGCTATGGTCTAAATGTGGCACATAGATTTGTTTTTTTGACTCCTTAAATTGAGTCAACATGTAAAATTTAGGAGACTCATGAAGAAATTTGGCCTTCAGACTTGTCTTAAAAATCAAATCTGGTGTCCCCTGAGCCCCGTCACTGTTTGGTCTGCTGCGTAGAGGCTGCCCCTATACAGAAGGCACATGTTCTCTAGTTTGCTACTGTGCCCACTGAAGTCTTTGCTTACTTAGGTAACCTCCTTCATCCTTAGAAGTATCTGAGTTCACAACTCCTGTTTTATAGTCTGTTTTCATAAAGATTTCAAGGTTTTTAAGACAGTGTATATTGGTTTATAATATATAATTTATAGTTTATTTAAATCCCTCATTTATGGGGTTGAATTTTAGAATTCAGAAAGTTTTTTTTTTAAACTTTTTCTCTATATATACCACAAACAGTCATCTGCTCATAAGAATGCCTAAAAGCCTTTTTAGATTATTCCTGATGAGTGTTGGATAGTTTATGGATAGTTCACACATTATATATTTCTTTCCAGCAATATCCCTTAAAATACAAGTGACTTATTGGCTTTTATTATGCCAGAAATAAGCCATATATATCAGTATTTGAACTTTAATTAATAAACTGTTGTATTTTTTCTAATTTCTATTTTGCCTAAAGTAAAAAAAAAACAGTTAAATAGCAGTGTAAATGTAAACCAATACAAATGGATTTAAAAAGTTAAAAAGTAAAGTTGCATTAGGGTTCCAGAATTATCACTATAATTAAGAATAACTTTTTTCTGAGGTGGAATTTGCTTTTGTCCAGGCTGGAGTGCAATGACATAATCTCGGCTCACTGCAACCTTTACCTCCCAGGTTCAAGTGATTCTCCAGCCTCAGCCTCTTAAGTAGCTGGGACTACAGGCATGTGTCATTATGCTCAGCTAATTTTTGTATTTTTGGTAGAGACATAGTTTCACCATGTTGGCCAGCTGGTCTCGAACTCCTGATCTCAGGTGATTCACCCACCTCAGCCTCCTAAAGTGCTGGGATTGCAGGCATGAGCCACTGCACCCAGACTTATTTTCAAAAATTTTTAACCTGCTTCTCTTACACAGGACATGCTGAGCTTCTTGTCAGTTAAGATAAAAATCTATCCTCTTGTATTAGGAGAAAACTCATGAACTGTTTAATAATAAGGAAAATAAGTGCTTTGGAAGCCAATCTCTCATAATTCAGAGCTTATTTCTTTAGTGATCCATTCCAATTAGGAGGGCCTAACATTGGCATCTGGAATCCTTACACCATTTGTAGAAGTGAACTGAGCAAGTGTGTGCCACCCAGAGGAACCTAAGCCTGTTTGGGGAAGCTCTGTCAACTGTATCCCTGAAAGTCTAGTTCCTAAAATGTTAACATTTGCCACGGAAAGTATTGTCAGAGTGGGGTTAGGCAAAGTTCAAGAGATTTTTTTGATTCTTGGACATACAATACAGTTTTCTAATACTTCTGAAATGCAGATGATCATGGACTTTTTCTGTTGGGTACAGGACTCCTGGTAGAACAAATATTCTTTTGAATATAGTTTAAGAAACACTGCTCTAGAGATCATGATTTAGATCATTTATTTATTTTCAAAACTTAAAGCATTTGCTACCACATCTTAGATTTTAGGTTTACAGAAAGAAAAGACACAGCCCTGGCCCTCAAGAAGCTCTTAGGTTTCCGTGAAAAACAATAACATAATTATAATATACTGTGCTAAATGCTGTGAGAGAAGCAATGATTTATGGGACTAGTAAATAAAGTGAGTTTTGGAGATGACAAAAGTTAATGCAGGGAGGCAGAAATAGGTGTTTGCAAAGCAGTGTGTGGAAAAGGACAGAGGAGGTAGAATGAAGGGACTGCTTTCTTTATTTTGTGTTTAAGTTCATAGCATCTTATAGAAGATTTTTATTTCAGTTGAAAAATATGTAATTTTGTGAATTATAAATTGCTTTCTTACAGGAGGGAAACATGATTGTTTTACTTGCTATAATTTGCAAGAGGCAACAAATGGTGACATTTTTAGTGAAGAACCAGCCAAATGTACATGCTGTTGACAATTTCGAGAAGGTAAAGTAGTTCTTATTTTTTTTTTTTCAAATAAAAAGCTGAGTGTTATAGAGTGGCAACAGTCACAGAAATGAGAAATATTAATAAAAGATTAACTTGTAATTGTTGGCATACAGTGAAAAATAACATGAATAATCAGGTAGAAAAGCAATTATTTGGACTGAGCAACATATAAAACAGTGTATAGTAAGATTCATCTTCTCTGATAGACTCTTATCTTTAATCTGATATTTTTGATCCTGGAATCTTATATTAGCTAAAGGGGTTTTCTACTTTATTAACTTTATAAAGTGTAGACTTTAACTTTCAGTTTACAACTACTGCTATTACCAGTATCATTATTATCACCATTGTTTTTAGCTTGCTGATGGCTCTTACTGGTCTGATCTTTTGCTGACTTTTAATTACAATGTATCAGACTAGGAAAGCAATGGGGAAATTTACCTTTAAATTTTTGCCTACTTTAGATAAGTGACCTCAGCATAGTTTGTTGGCCATCAAAGGACAGTAAGTTAGCTACTTGTATTATGTCGTACCCCAGGGGGACAAGAAGCTTCCTTGTTGTCCCTGATTTTAAACTTTGGTGGCAATTTACAAAGATGAACACTTGAACACCCAACATGCTGATAGACATAAGCTAGAGCATGTAAACTGTTATTGTGTCTACAATGACAGGCAAGATAGTAAATTGGTAATGTATATCAAATTTGCTGATTAAATACCTTTATTCCAGTTCTTGAGTGGAGTTATTTCTTTTTATTTCAGAACAGCCCACATGCTTGCCACACATCATAACTTGCCAAGTATAGTCAGCCTTCTCCTTGAAGAAAATATTAGAGTCTTTTCTCAGGATATGTTTGGACAAACAGCAGACGATTATGCTGTTTGTTGTGATTTGATAAGGTAAGTGCTTGTCTTAAAAGACCGGTTACTACTAAATTAAGATTAAAAATAATGACAAATATGGCATCTTGTACATTAGATGCCAGTTCATAGTTTGCTTGAGGTCGTTTGGAATGGCAATGAGTTAGTCCACTTTTTAGCCAGAAATCAGAGAGAAAGCTAGACTAGTTAGAAGTAGAAGTGAGTGCAAGATTCTTTCAGGACTTTTAAAGGTATTTATCCCTAGAGATCTGAATGTTGTTCATTTTATTCCAAGTATAACCTTTATGTGTGAGATATAAAAAATATCATTTTTCCTTTTTTCTTTTCTTTGACAAGGTCTCACTATGTTTTTCACGTTCCTGAGCTCAAGTGATTCTCCTGCCTCCCCCTCCCAAACTGCCAGCCACCATGCCTGGCCTGACTTTTCTAATTAGTTATTGGGTCTTGAAATGTCCAGTTTAACAGAAAATCTTCTATTGTCCCCTGGGACTATGCTTAATGCCTTCCTCCTTTCAATTTTTCAGAAAGCTAAAAGGTTCCCTAAGTCCAAGGAAGACAATCTTGCTCTACAAGTCAGAACAAGGGGGGGGGAGGCCATTCTAATCATTCTGTTTCCTTTTTTCACTTGCTGTATTGCTGTTGTCATTGTAACTGGTCCTGCAATCTGTTGATGATTGACCTTTGCTACCAGGGTGCCTTTACTCATTCAGATCCCTGAGTCTTCATGGTGACTCACACACAGAGTTCACAGCTACAGTGTTTTTTAGTTCATGTACATTTGATCAGCCATTGTTCCCAGCACCCTTCTCTGGCAGCAAGGACTCCTGGCTTTCCACACACACACACGGTGAGTCAATTTACCCTCCCCCAACACTAAAAATTTTGTGTAGCCCACCTCTTAGCTAGGCTTAGCCTAGACCTTCATGGTAAATTATCCTTTGAGACCTGTGTTCATCTTTTCCCTAGCAAATATTAGTTGAGATTGTGCTCAACAGTCAGGAACTGTCAAATAATGTTTCAGAAAGAGATCAGAGTTTCCTTTCCCTTTTGTCATTACATCTGTACCTTAGGGCTTCTTCTTTTTTTTTTTTTAATTTTTTATTGGATTATAGGTTTTGGGGTACATGAGCAGAGCATGCAAGACAGTTGCGTAGGTACACACATGGCAGTGTGCTTTCTTTTCTTCTCCCCTTCACCCACATTTGGCTTTTCTCCCCAGGCTATCCCTCCCCACCTCCCCCTCCCACTGGCCCTCCCCTTTTCCCCCCAATAGATCCCAGTGTTTAGTACTCCCCTTTCTGTGTCCATGTGTTCTCATTTTTCATCACCCACCTATGAGTGAGAATATGCGGTGTTTCATTTTCTGTTCTTGTGTCAGTTTGCTGAGGATGACGTTCTGCAGATTCATCCATGTCCCTACAAACGACACGAACTCATCATTTCTGATTGCTGCATAATATTCCATGGTGTATATGTGCCACATTTTTCCAATCCAGTCTATTATCAATGGGCATTTGGGTTGATTCCAGGTCTTTGCTATTGTAAACAGTGCTGCAATGAACATTCGTGTACATGTGTCCTTATAGTGGAACGATTTATAGTCTTTTGGATATATACCCAGTAATGGGATTGCTGGGTCAAATGGAATTTCTATTTCTAAGGCCTTGAGGAATCGCCACACTGTCTTCCACAATGGTTGAACTAATTTACACTCCCACCAACAGTGTAAAAGTGTTCCTTTTTCTCCACATCCTCTCCAGCATCTGTTGTCTCCAGATTTTTTAATGATCGCCATTCTAACTGGCGTGAGATGGTATCTCAATGTGGTTCTGATTTGTATCTCTCTGATGATCAGTGACGATGAGCATTTTTTCATATGATTGTTGGCCTCATATATGTCTTCTTTCGTAAAGTATCTGTTCATATCCTTTGCCCACTTTTGAATGGGCTTGTTTGTTTTTTTCCTGTAAATCTGTTTGAGTTTCTTTATGTTTTGTGTAGCAGGTTCTGTTAGATAGCAGAAGGTTCCATATTATCCTTCTATAGAGTAGTGGGTACCAACTAGCAGTCGGCCCCTCAAGTAATCTGTTTCCATAGTAATAAAAATTTCTCAGGCTACTTACATCTCTACCTCAAATGTTAAAAATGTTTTAATATTCTACCTCACAGGAACCCATTCAACAGAATTCTCTGTATCTAAAGTAGGTAATTCGGATTTAACAGAGTTGAGCCTCATCCATGACTCATGAGTAGCCACGTATAAAACAGGGTTTATATTTGTTTCAGCAGTACAGATTCTAAAATTAGATCAATATAAAAACAGATAAGCATTTTAATACAATGTACAGATACCAAATCACTCCCACAGATATGTTTTTTCTGTGTTTTACAAGCAGTCTTACTGCTATTTCACATAACATAAGATATTGCTGGAAATGTCAATTTTGAGATTCTCCACAGAAAGCATTTGCAAACTGCTGAATACAAACAGCAGTGTGACTCTGTAAGTTGAATGCACACATTGACAATATTTCTCCCAGATAGCTTCCTTTGAGTTTTTAAGGTGAAAGGTTTCTCATTACAGCATATGCCCACTTTCCTTCTGGAATGAAAAAAATCTAACTTCTGTAAGAAAAGTATTTCTAACCTTCTGTATCAAAATATAGATGCAACTCTATTAGTTGAATGCACACACACCAGAGCAGTTTCACAGATACGTTTCTTCTGTGTTTTACAGGCAGTCTTACTGCTATTTTGTAGAACGTGGGATTATGCTGGAAATGTCTGTTTTGAGATTCTCCACAGAAAGTGTTTGCAAACCGCTGAATGCACACCTCCTGGATATTTATGAGGTGTGTATACTCACTGAGGCTCTAAATGAGTGGCCATATAAAATAGATTTCTTATTACTCCCCACGTGTTCATTATTCACTGAGGCTTTTAATGAGTAGTCATACAAAATAGATTCTTGACTATTCCTGAGGTGCGTATTATTCACTGAGGATCTGAATGAGTCAATATATGAAATAGACTTCTAACTATTCCCAATTTGTGTATTTCTCACTGAGGCTCTGAATGAGTGGCAATATGAAATAGACACCTGACTATTTCCCAGGTGTGTATTATTCACTGAGGCTCTGAATGAGTGGCCTCTTGAAATAGGCTCCTGGCTACTAAATAGGTATGTATTATTCACTCAGGCTCTGAATGAGTGGCCATATGAAATCGAATTTTAACTATTCCCCAGGTGTGTATCATTCAGTGAGGCTCTGAATGAGTAGGCATATTAAATAGATTCCTGACTATTCCCCAGGTGTGCATTTACTGAGGCTCTGAATGTGTGGCCATTTGAAATAGACTACTGACTATTCCTCAGGTGTGTGTTATTCACTGTGGCTCTGAATGAGTCCAAATACTAGTCTCCTGACTATTCCCCAGGTGTGTATTATTCACTAAGGCTTTGAACAAGTGGCCATATAAGTAGATTCCTGACTATTCCAGAGCTGTGTATGATTCACTGAGATTCTGAATGAGAAACCATAAGAAATAGACTCCTGGTTACTCCACAGGCATGCATTATTCACTGAGGCACTGAATGAGTGGCCATACAAAATAGACTCCTGACACTTCCCTAGATGTATATTAATCAGTGAGGCTCAGAATAAGAGGCCACATAAAATTTACTCCTGTCTATTCCGCTGGTGTGCATTAAGTAAGGCTCTAAATTAGTGGTCATAGGCAACAAAAAAATCCTGACTATTCCCCAGGTGTGTATTATTCAGTGAGGCTCTGAATGAGTGGCCATATGAAGGAGGCTCCTGACCATTACCTTGGTGTGCATTAATCACTGAGGGTCTGAATGATTGTCCATGTGAAATAGACTCCTGAGTACTCTCCATGTGTGCATTATTCACTGAGGCTCTGAGTGGCCATATGAAATAGAATCTTTATAATTCCCCAGGTGTGTATTATTCACTGAGACTCTGAATGAGTGGTCTTATGCAATAGACTCCCTACTATTCCCCAGGTGTGTATAAATCAGTGAGGGTCTGAGTGAGTGGGCATATGAAATAGAATCCTAACTATTACCCAGGTGTGCATTATTCTCTGAGGCTCTGGCTGCATGACCAATTGAAATACACTTCTTACTATTCTCCAGGTTTATGTTATTCACTGAGGCTGTGAATGAGTGCCTATATAAAATAGACTTCTCACTATTTCTCAGGTGTGTATTATTCACCCATCTGCTGAATGAGTGGCCATATGAAATCGACTCCTATTTTCCAAGTGTATTACCAACTGAACCTCTGAATGAGTGGGCATACAAAATAGACTCCTGGTTATTCCACAGGTGTGCATTATTCATCGAGGCTCTGAATGAGTGGCCCTATGAAATAGACTCCTTACTATTCTCCAGTTGTGTATTATTTACTGAGGCTCTGGATCAGTGGTTTTATGAAATACACTCCTGACTATTCCCCAGGCGTGCATTATTCATTGACACTCTGAATGTTTGGCTATTTCAAATAGACTCATGAATATTCCCCAGATGTGTGAGATTCTCTGTGGTTCTGAATGAGTCACCATTTGAAATAGTCTCTTGCCTACACCGCAGGTGTGTATTTTACTGAGTCTCTGAATGAGTGGCCATATAAAGTAGATTCCTGACTATTTGAGAGGTGTGTCTTCTTCACTAGACTCTGAATGAGTGATCATATGAAATAGACTACTGGTTACTCCACAGGTGTGCATTATTCACTGAGGCTCTGAATGAGTGTCCATATGAAATAGACTCCTCACTATTCCCCAGTTGTGTATTATTCACTGAGGCTCTGAATGAGTGGCCATATGAGATAGACTCCAGACTATTCCCCAGGCATGCATTATTCAGTAAGGCTCTGGATGAGTGGTCATACAAAATAGAATCCTCACCATTCCCCAGGTGTGTGTTATTCCCTGAGGCTCTGAATGAGTGGCTATGTGAAATAGACTCCTGACTACTCCACAGTTGTTTATTATTCAGTAAAGCAATGAATGAGAGGCCATATGAAGTAGACTCTTGGTTACTCCAAAGGTGTACATTATTCACTGAGGCTCTGAATGAGGGCCATATGAAGTAGACTCCAGATTAGTCTCCAGCTGTGCATTATACAATGAGGCTCTGAATGAGTGGCCATATGAAATAGATTCTTGAGTATTCCCCAGGTGTGTATTATTCTGTGAGGCTCAGAAAGAGTGATGATATAGACTCCAGACTATCCCCAAGGTGATAGTTTATTATTCAGTGAGACTCTTAATGAGTGGTATATGAAATAGACTTCTGACTACCCCAGAGGTGTTCATTATTCATTGAACCTCTGACAGAGAGGCAATATAAAATAGATTCCTGACTATTCCCCAGGTGTGCATTATTCACTGAGGCTCTGAATTTGTGGTCATATGAAAAAGATCCCTGACCATTCCTGAAGTATGTATTATTCAGTGAGAATCTGAATGATTTTCCATATGAAATAGTCTCCTGACTACACCACAGGTGTGCATTATTCAGTGAAGCTCGGCATGAGTGATGACATGAAATAGAATCCTGACTCTTCCCCAGGTGTTCTTTATTCCTTGAGGCTCTGAATCAGTGGCCATATGAAATAGACTCCTGACTATTCCCCAGATATGCATTTTTCAGTGACACTCTGAATTAGTTGCCATATGAAATAGTCTTGTGACTATTCCCCAGGTGTGCATTATTCAGTGAATCTCTAAATGCCTGGTTATAAGAAATAGAGTCCCGACTAGTCCCCAGTTGTGCATTACAGTGAGGATCTGAATGAGTGGCCATATGAAATAGGCTCCTAGGTTCTCCCCAGGCATGCTTTATTCACTAAGGCTCTGAATGAGTGGCCTTATGAAATAGATTCCTGACTATCCCCTAGATGTGTAATATTAAGTCAGTCTCTGAAGCAATATCTAAGTGAAATAGGCTCCTGACAACTCCACAAGTGTTCATTATTCAGTGAAGCTCTGAATGAGAGGCCAGATGAAATAGATTCCTGAGTATACCCCAGGTGTGCATTATTCAGCGAGTCTCTGAATGAATGGCCACATGAAATAATCTCTTCACAATTCCCCAGGTGTGCATTAATCAGTGAGGCTCTGAATGAGGAGTCATGTGAAATAGACTCCTGAGTATTCCCCAGTTGTGTGTTACTCACTGAGGCTCTGGTCATGTAAAATAGACGCCTGATGGGAGATCCAAGATGGCTGATTGCTAACAGCTCGGGATTGTAGCTCCCAGTGAAAGCATAGAGAACGAGAGGACACCACACTTTCAGATGAATTTTCATTGCTCACGGACTAGAAGATTTCCAGTGGAGGAGCCCCACAGGTCACCAGCGTGACTCTTGTGGCCAGCACAGCAGTTTTGCTGGTGCCTTGGTGCGGCAGATCTTCATGCAGAGTAAACAGAACTGGTTCCCCTACTGACCGGTGTTTGGAGCTCCAGGAAGGCACAGCCACTTGTTACGGACTCAAGAAAAAAGCCAGACCAGAGATTCCTGGGCAGAAGAGCACCATCAGTCTTATCGCTGCTATTTTGGCCAGCACAGTGGGTTGCTCGGATCCCAGCACTGGGAATCAATAAATTGGACGTCCACTCAGAAACCTAATTGGAAAGGCGGTAATTGTAAAGACGACAGATAGATAAATTTATAATAAAGGGAAGAAACCAGCCTAAAAAGGCCGAGAATACCCAAAATCAGAACCCCTCTTCCCCTACAGGGAAGCCTATTAGACTTACAGCAGATCTCTCAGTGGAAACCCTACAAGCCAGAAGAGAGTGGGGGCCAATATTCAACATCCTTAAAGAACAGAACTTTCAGCCCTGAATTTCATATCCTGCCAAACTAAGCTTCACAATTGAAGGAAAAATAAAATCCTTTATGAACAAGCAAGTACTCAGAGATTTTATTACCACCAGGCCTGCTTTACAAGAACTTCTGAAAGAACCATTACACATAGAAAGGAACAGCCTTTCCAAAAATATACCAAAAAGTAAAGAGCATCAACATAAAGAAGAATTTACATCAACGAATGGATAAAATAGCCAGTTAACATCAAATGGCAGTAAACCTAAATTTAAATTGACTGAATCCCCCAATCAAAAGATACAGCCAAAACCTAATGGTATGCTACATCCAGACCCATTTTATATCCAAAGATACACAAAGACTCAAAACAAAGAGTTGGAGAAAAATTTACCAACCAAATGGAGAGCAAAAATAAATAAATAAACAAAAAGCAGGAATTGCAATTCTCGAATTTGATAGAATAGATTTCAAAGCAACAAAGATACAGTGGTAAAAGGATCAATGCAGCAATGAGAGCTAATGATCCTAACACCCAGATACATGGGACACATAAAGAGATTTAGACTCAACAAGACAGAAAATTAATAAGGATGTCCAGAACTTGAACACAGATCTGGAACAAGTAAACTTAATAAATATTTATAGAGCTCTGCACTTTAAATACACAAAATATTGATTGACCATTATTAATCCCCATTTTTAGAATAAAGCAATATTCCTGTTCTCTCTCCCTCTTTTTCTTCTTCTTTCTTCCTCTCCTTTTTTTCTTTCAAAAAAAAAAAAAGAAAAATAAATAAATTCAGAGATTACACGTGCCCAGTGGGGCCCTGGGTGTCAGGGAGAGAGCTGCAGAGGTGACAAAATCAATGTCTGGGCCAGGCACGGTGGCTCATGCCTGTAATCCCAGCACTCTGGGAGGCAGAGGGAAGGGGATTACTTGAGGTCAGGGGTTCAAGACCAGCCTGGCCAACATGGTGAAAGCCCGTCTCTAAAAAAAGAAAATAAATAAATAAATAAATAAAATAGACTCCTGACTATCCCCCAGGTGTGTCTTATTCACTGAGCCTCTGAATGAATGGCTATATGAAATATATTCCCGACTACTCCAGAGGTGTTCCTTATTGAGTGAAGCTCTAAATGAGATGCCATATGATATAGACTCCTGGATACTCCACAGGTGTACATTATTCCCTGAGGCTCTGACTGAGGGCCATTTGAAATAGACTCCAGATTAGTCTTCAGCTTTGCATTATTCAATGAGGCTCTCAATGAGTGGCCAAATGAAAGAGACTCCTGACAATTCCTCAGGTGTGTATTACTCAGTGAGGCTCGGAATCAGTGGCTATATAAAACAGACTCCTGACTGCGCCACAGGTGTTCATTATTCAATGAAGCTCTAAATGGGAGGCTATATGAAATAGACTCCTGGCTATTCCGCAGGTGTGCATTATTCACTGAGTCTCTGAATGAGTAGCCATATGAAATAGAATCCAAAAGATTCGCCCAGGTGTGTATTATTCAGTGAGGTTCTGAATGAATGTTATATGAAATAGACTTTTGACTATTCCACAGGTGTTCATAATTCAGTGAAGCTCTAAATGAGAGACAATATGAAATGGACTCCTGACTATTGCCCAGCTGTGCATTATTCAGTGAGGTGCTAAAGGAGTGGTCATATGAAAGAAACTCCTGATTGTTCTGCAGGTGTTCATTTTTCACTGAGGCTCTGAATAAGTGGCCATATGAAATAGATTCCTGAATATCCCCTAGGTGTGTATTATTAAGTCAGGCTCTGAATGAGTGGCTATGTGAAATAGGCTCCTGACTCTCCACTGGTGTTTATTATTCAGTGTAGTTCTAAATGACAGGCCAGACTAATTGGATTCCTAAGTATTCCCCAGGTGTGCACTTTTACCTGAGGCTCTGTATGTGTGGCCATATGAAATAGACTCCTGACTATTCCAGAAGTGTGCATTATTCATTGAGGTTCTGAATTGGTGGCCATATAAAACAAACTCTTGCATACTCCCCACGTGTGCATTATTTACACAGGCTCTTAATGAGTGGTCATACCAGATAGACTCCTGACTCTTCCCCAGGGGTGTATTATTTACTTAGGCTCTGAATGAGTGCCCATATGAAATAGAATCTTGACTATTCCCCAGGTGTGTATTATTCATTGGGGCATTGATTGAGTGGCCAAATGAAATAGATTCCTGACTTTTTATTGGTATGTACTTTATTTTTTATTGCATTTTAGGTTTTGGGGTACATGTGAAGAACATGCAAGATTGTTGCATAAGTACACCCGTGGCAGTGTGAATTGCTGCCTTCCTCCCCTTCACTTATATCTGGCATTTCTCCCCATGCTATCTCTCCTCAACTCCCCACCCCCCACAGTCCCTCCACTATTTTCCACTAACAGACCCCAGTGTGTCGTGCTCCCCTGCCTGTGTCCATGTGTTCTCATTGTTCAACACCCACCTATGAGAGAGAACACTCAGTGTTTAATTTCCTGTTCTTGTGTCAATTTGCTGAGAATGATGGTCTCCAGGTTCATCCATGTCCCTACAAAGGATACGAACTTGTCATTTTTGATGGCTGCATAATATTCCATAATGTATATGTGCCAAAATTTCCCTGTCCAGTCTATCATCAATGAGCATTTGTGTTGCTTCCAGGTCTTTTCTATTGTAAACTGTGCTGCAGTGAACATTGGTATGTATGTGTCCTTGTAGAAAAATAATTTATAACCCTTTGAATATATACCCAGTAATGGAATTGCTGGGTCAAATGGAATTTCTATTTCTCGGTCCTTGAGGACTTGCCACACTGTCTTCCACAATGGTTGGACTAATTTACACTCCCACCAACACTGTAAAAGTGTTTCGATTTCTCCACATTCTCTCCAGAATCTGTCATCTCCAAATTTTTTAATGTTCACCATTCTAACTGGAATGAGATGGTATCTCAATGTAGTTTTGATTTGCATTTTTCTAATAATGATGGTTGATGAGCATTTTTTCATATGTTTGTTGGCCTCACATATGTCTTCTTTTGCAAAGTGTCTGTTCATATCCTGCACCCACTTTTGAATGGGTTTTTTTTGGTTTTTTTCTTGTAAATCTGTTTGAATTCTTTGTAAATTCTGGATATCAGCCCTTTGTCAGATGAGTAAACTGCAAAAATTTTTTCCCATTCTGTTGGTTGCTGATTCACTCTAATGACTGTTTCTTTTGCCATGAAGAAGCTGTGGAGTTTGATTAGGTCCCATTTGTCTATTTTGGCTTTTTTTGCCAATGCCTTTAGTGTTTTGGTCATAAAGTCCTTGCCTATGCCTATGCACTGAATGGTTTTGCCTAGATTTTCTTCTAGGGTTTGTATGGTGCCAGGTCTTATGTTTAAGTCTTTAATTTATCTGGAGTTAATTTTAGTGTAAGGTGTCAGGAAGGGGTCCAGTTTCTTCTTTCTGCACATGGCTAGCCAGTTTTCCCAACACCATTTATTAAACAGAAAATCTTTTCCCATTGCTTGTTTTTGTCAGGTTTGTCAAAGATCAGATGGTGGTAGATATGTTGTGTTGCCTCTGAGGCTTCTGTTCTGTTCTGTTAGTCTATATCTCTGTTTTGGTATTAGTCCATGCTGTTTTGATTACTGTAGCCCCATAGTATAGTTTGAAGTCGGGTAGTGTGATGCCTCCTGCTTTGTTATTTTTGCTTATAATCGACTTGGCTATGTGGGCTCTCTTTTGGTTCCATATGAAGTTTAAAGTTTTTTTTTTTTCAGTTCTGTGAAGAGGGTCATTGGTAGCTTGATGGGGATAGCACTGAATCTGTAAATTACTTTGGGCAGTATCGTCATTTTCACTATTGAATCTTTTTAACCATGAAAATGGAATATTTCTCTATTTGTGTCCTCTCTATTTAATTGAGCATTGATTTCAAGTTCTCCTTGAAGAAGTCCTTTACGTTCCTTGTTAGTTGTATTCCTAGGTATTTTATTCTCTTTGTAGCAATTGTGAACGGCAGTTTGTTCTTGATTTGGTTCTCTTTAAGTCTGTTATTGATGTATAGGAATGCTTGTGATTTTTGCACATTCATTTTGTATCTTGAGACTTTGCTGAAGTTGCTTATCAGTTTCAGAAAATTTTGGGCTGAGACGATGGCGTCTTCTAGGTAAACAATCACGTCGTCTGCAAATAAAGACAATTTGGCTTCCTCCTTTCCTAGTTGAATACCCTTTATTTCTTTTTCTTATCTGATTGCTCTGTCTAGAACTTCCAGTACTATATTGAATAGGAGTGGTGAGAGAGGGCAGGCTTGTCTAGTGCCATATTTCAAAGGGAACGCTTCCAGTTTTTGTACATTCAGTATGATATTGGCTGTTGGTTTGCCATAAATAGCTTTTATTATTTTGAAATACGTTCTGTCAATACCTAGATTATTGAGGATTTTTAGCATAAAGTGCTGTTGAATATTGTCAAAGGCCTTCTCTACATTAATTGAGATAATCATGTGGTTTATTTCTTTGGTTCTGTTTTTGTGGTGAATTACATTTATAGACTTACATATGTTGAACCAGTTTTGCATTTCCAGGATGAATCCTACTTGATCATGATGAGTAGGCTTTTTGATGTGCTGTTGCAATCACCTTGCCAGTATTTTATTAAAGATTTTTGAATCTACGTTAATCATGGATATTAGCTTTAAGTTTTCTTTTCTTGTTGAGTCTCTGCCAGGTTTTGGTATCAGGATGATGTTGGTCTCATAAAATGACTTGAGAAAGATTCCCTCTTTTTTGATTATTTTGAGTAGTTTCAGAGAAATGGTAACAGCTCCTCTTTGTGTGTCTGGTAGAATTCAGCTGTGAACCCATCTGGACCTGGGTGTATTTTGTGTGGCAGGCTCTTAATTGCTGCCTCAACTTCAGACCTTGTTATCGGTCTATTCAGGGTTTCAACTTCTTCCTGGTTTAGGCTTGGGAGAAGGCAAGTGTCCAGGAATTTATCCATTTTTTTCCAGGTTTACTGGTTTATGTGCATAGACTTGTTTGTAATAATCTCTGATGATGGTTTGATTTTTTGTGGAATCTGTGGTGATAGTATTTTTATCATTTTATTATTGCATCTTTTTGGTTATTCTCTCTTTTCTTTTTTAAAAAAATCTGGCTAGTGGTCTGTCTATTTTGTGGATCTTTTTGAAAAACCAGCTCCTGGATTTATTGATCTTTTGAAGGGATTTTTTTGTGCCTCTATCTCATTCAGTTCTGCTCTGATCTTAGTTATTTCTTGTCTTCTGCTAGGTTTTGAGTTTTTTTGATCTTGCTCCTCTATTTCTTTCAATTTTGATGAGAGGGTGTCAATTTAGATCTCTCCTTGCTTCTCATGTGGGCACTTATTGCTATGCATTTTCCTCTAGAGACTGCTTAAAAAGTGTCCCAGAGATTCTGGTATGTTGTGTCTTCGTTCTTATTGGTTTCAAAGAATATCTTTATTTCTGCCTTTATTTCATTGTTTATCCAGTCAACATTCAAGAGCCAGTTGTGCAGTTTCCATGAAGCCGTGTGGTTCTGAGTTAGCTTCTGAATTCTGAGTTATAACTTGATTGCACTGTGGTCTGAAAGATGGTTTGCTATACCTTCCATTATTTTGCATTTGCTGAGGAGTGATTTCCTTCCAATTATGTGGTCAATTTTAGAGTGGGTTTGATATGCTGCTGAGAAGAATGTATATGCTGTGGATCTGAAGTGGAGAGTTCTGTAAATGTCTATTAGGTTGGCTTGTTCCAGGTCTGATTTTTAGTCCTGGATATCCTTGTTAATTTTCTGTATGGTTTATCTGTCTAATATTGACAATGGGGTGTTAACGTCTCCCACTGTTTTTGTGTGGAAGTCTAAGTCTCTTTTTAAGTCATTAAAAACTTGCCTTATGTATCTGGGTGCTCCTGTATTGGGTGCGTATATATTTAGGATTGTTAACTCTTCTTGTTGCATTGATACTTTTACCATTATGTAATGTCCTTCTTTGTCTCTTTTGATCTTTGTTGCTTTAAAATATATTTTATCAGAGTCGAGAGTTGCAAAACCTTGTTTTTGCCTCCATTTGCTTGGTAAGTCTTCCTCCATCACTTTATTTTGAGCCTTTGTGTATCCTTGCATGTGAGATGGGTTTCCTGGATACAGCACACAGAGGGGTTTTGGCTTTTTATCCAATTTGCCAGTCTCTGTCTTTTGATTGGGGCATTTAGCCCATTTACATTTAGGATTAATATTGTTATGTGTGAATTCAAACCTGCCATTTTGACGCTATCTGGCTGTTTTGCCCATTACTTGATGCAGATTCTTCATTTTTTTTAATGCTTTTTCCATTTGGTATGTTTTTGGAGTGGCTGGTACCGGTTGTTCCTTGCCATGTGTAGTGCCTCCTTCAGGAGCTTTTGTAAAGCAGGCATAGTGGTGGCAAAATTTCCGAGTACTTGGTTGTTCACAAAGGATTTTATTTTTCCTTCACTTATAAATCTTAGTTTGGCTGGATATAAAATTCTGGGTTTAAAGTTCTTTTCTTTAAGGATTTTGAATATTGGCCCCCACTCTCTTCTGGCTTGTAGGGTTTCTGCTGAGAGATCTGCTATGAGTGTGATGGGCTTCCCTTTGTGGGTAACCCAATCTTTCTCTCTGGCTGCCCTTAGCATTTCTCTTTCATTTCAACCCTGGTGAATCTGACAACTATGTGCCTTAAAGTTGCTCTTCTTGAGAAATATTTTTATGGTGTTCTCTATATTTCCTGGACTTGAACATTGGCCTGCCTTACTAGGTTAAAGAAGTTTTCCTTGATAATAACCTGAAGAGTATTTTCCAGCTTGGATTCATTCGCTTTGTTATATTCAGATACACCTATCAAACTAGATTATGTCTTTTTACATAGTCCCATATTTCTTGGATACTTTGTTTATTCCTATTTGTGCTTTTTTCTCTAATCTTGCCTTCTCATTTTCTTTCATTGAGTTGATCCTCGATATCTGATATTCTTTCTTCTGCTTGGTCAATTCAGCTGTTAAAATTTGTGCATGCTTTGTGAAGTTCTCATGTTGTGTTTTTCAGCTCCGTCAATTCACTTATGTTTTTCTCTAAGTTGTCCATTCTTGTTAGCATTTCATCAAATCTTTTTTACAAGGTTCTTAGTTTCTTTGCATTGAGTTAGAACATGTTCTTTTAGCTCACAGAAGTTTCTCATTACCCACCTTCTGAAGCCTGATACCGTCATTTTATCACACTCATTCTCCATCCAGCCTTGTTTCCTTGCTGATGAGGAGTTGTGATTTTTTGTAGGAGGAGATGTGTTCTGGTTTCCGGTGTTTTCCTCCTTTTTGCACTGGTTTCTTCTTATCTTTGTGGATTTATCCACCTGTCATCTTTTTAGTTGCTGACTTTCAGATTGTGTCTCTGAGTGGACATCCAGTTTGTTGATGATGAAGTTATTTCTGTTTCTTAGTTTTTCTTCTAATAGTCTGGCCCCTCTGCTGTAGGAGTTCTGAGGTACACTCCATACCCGGCTTTCCTGGGGATTACCTGCAGCAGCTACAGAACAGAAAGGATTGCTACCAGTTTCTTCTGCTATCTTTGTCCCAGAATGATACCCACCAAATGTCAGTCTGATCTCTCCTTTATGAGGTGACTCTTTGTATATATGGGGGTCAGAAACCTGCTTGAGGAGACAATTTGTTATTGATAAAAGCTCAAGTGCTGATCTGCGAGCTCCATTGTTTATTCAGAGCTTCTGGGCAGTTACATTTAAGTCTGCAGCAGAACAAATAAACCCCCGTTTTTCCCCAGGTGTTCTGTCCTGAGAAGTTAGGACTTTATTTATGAGTTTCTGTGGTGCTGCTGCCTTTTTTCAGGGCTGTTCTGCCCAGCTAGGAGGCAGCCTACTCACTTTTTGCCTGCAGAGGCTTTGCTAAGATGCTGTGGGCTCTGCCCAGCTGCCATGTGAACTTCCCTGCAGTCCTGTTTATATGGGTGTAGTTAGAACTACCTTGGCAATGGTGGCCCACCTCTATAATGGCAGACTCTCTCTGTAATGGCGGGTTGCCTCAGCAATGGCAGGCTGCCTCAGCAATGGCAGACTACCTCTGTAGTGTTGGAGTGCCTCGGTAATGGCAGATGCCCTTCCCCACAGAGCTGGACTGTCCTTGGTTCAGCTGTGCTTGCTGTGAAACTCTCAACCCAAAGTGTTTCCAAATGCTGTTTTTTGTTTTGTAGAGGGGTGGGACCAGCCGAGCCTAATCAGCTGGCTCCTGCCTTAGAGGTTTTTTTTTTTTTTTTTAGTTGAATGGTCGACTCTCTCCCAGGTGTTCTGTTTGCTTGTTAAAAAAGACCAAGGAATAAAGACCGACTCAAGAGGGTGCAGTAAGAACAACCCAGGATTGAAGCTCTCAGTGAATGCATGGAGGGTAAGTCAGGGCCGCATTTTCAGACAGATTTTTCTTGCCCACAGAACGGGGAAATTCCCAGGTATAGAAGAAACATGGGACACAAGCGAAGCGGTTTTGGCTGGAGCAGCCAGTGGCCGGTGCAGCCAGCGGCTGGTGCTGTAGCACAGTGGCACTCCACAGCACTCGGCATACAGCGCACTGGTCCGTGTGCCCTGTTGAACCGGCAATCTGAGACATGAGAGGGCAGATTGGCATATCCATCTGATGGAATGGGACTTGGACAGTGAGCCACGCCTGGAGATTCCAGGGAAATGGCATCTGGGCCAGCACAGTGGGACAAACAAATGGCGATTTCAAATGCTCTGGGTGGAGAGATTCACTGCGGGCACAGCTGAACCCAGGATGGTGCAGCTCTGTGAGAGAGGGGCGTCCACCATGACCGAGGCAATCCGCCCCACTGAAGTACACTCCCATTGCTGATGCAGCCTGCCATTGCCGAGGCAACCCACCACAACAGAGAGACTCCACCACAGGGCATAGCCCGTGGCAGCAGGGTGGAGACCACAGCTGCAAGGCAGAGCCTGCAGACACAGGGTGGACATCACACCAGCAGGGGGGAGCCTCGGCAGGGAAATAGTGACTAGACTGCCTCCTAGCTGGGCAGGACAGCACAACGGACACTAATTAAAAAAACCCAACCCCTCAAGACAGAGCATCTGAGAAAAAAAGGTTTTATGAGTTCTGCTGCAGCAGAATTAAATATAGCAGCCTAACAGCCCTGAATGAACAACAGAGCTCACAGCTCAGCACTTGAGCTCCTATATAGTAGACTGTCTCCTCAAGCAGCTCCCTGACCCCTCTATATCCACAAGACTGACATTTGAAAGGTATCATTCTGGGACAAAGATAGCAGACAAAGAAACTGGTAGCATCCCGCACTATTCTGAAGCTGCTATAGGTGCACCCCAGACAAGCAGGGCCTGAAGTGGACCTCAGCAGTCGTACAGTGGAGGGGCTAGACTGGTAGAAGGAAAACCAAGTAACAGAAATACTTCATCATCAACAATCTGGGCATCCACTCAGAGACCAAATCGAAAAGTCAGCAACTACTCAAAAAACAGGTGGAAAAATGCACAAAGATGAGAAGAAAGCAGAGCAAAAAGGAGAAAAACACCCGAAACCAGAACACCACGCCTCCTATGAAGGACCAAAACTCCTCACCACCAAGGGAACAAAGCTGGATGGAGAATGACTGTGACAAAAGGACGGAATTAGACTTCAGAAGGTGGATAATGAGAAACTTTTGTGAGCTAATAGAACATGTTTTAAATCAATGCAAAGAAACTAAGAAACTTGAAAAAAGATTTGAAAAAAGATTCGAGGAAATGATAACAAGAATGGATAACTTAGATAGAAATATGAATGAATTGAAGAACCTGAAAAACACAACATGAGAACTTTGTGAAGCATGCACAAGTTTCAACAGCCGAATTGGCCAAGCAGAAGAAAGAATATCAGAAGTCGAAGATCAACTCAATGAAATAAAACCAGAAACCAAGATCAGAGAAAAAAGTGCAAAAAGGAATGAACAAAGTCTCCAAGAAATGTGTGACTATGTGAAGAGACCAAACCTACGTTTGATAGGTGTACGAGAATGTGACGAAGAGAATGAATCCAAGCTGAAAAATACTCTTCAGGATATTATTCAGGAAAATTTCCCCCACCTAGCAAGGCAGGCCAACACTCAAATGCAGGAAATACAGAGAACACCACAAAGATATTCCGCAAGAAGAGCAACCTTAAGGCACATAATCGTCAGATTCACCAGAATTGAAATAAAGGAGAAAATACTAAGGGCAGCCAAAGAGAAAGATTGGGTAACCCACAAAGGGAAGCCCATCAGACTCACAGCAGATCTGTCAGCAGAAACTCTACAAAACCAGAAGAGAGTGGGGGCCAATATTCAACATCCTTAAAGAAAAGAACTTTCAACCCAGAATTTCATATCCAGCCAAACTGAGCTTCAGAAGTGAAGGAAAAATAAAACCCTTTGTAAACAAGCAAGTACTCAGAGATTTTGTCACCACCAGGCCTGCTTTACAAGAGCTCCTGAAAGAAGCACTACACGTAGAAAAAACAACCAGTACCAGCCATTCCAAAGTCACACTAAATGCTAAAGAGCATTAACATAATGAAGAATCTACATCAACTAATGGGCAAAACAGCCAGCTAGCATCAAAATGGCAGTATCAAATTCACACATAACAATATTAGCCCTAAATGTAAATGGACTAAATGCACCAATCAAAAGACACAGACTGGCAAATTGGATTAAAAAACAAAACCCATCAGTGTTCTGTATCCAGGGAACCCATCTCACATGCTAGATACACAAAAGCTCAAAATAAAGGGAAGAAGGAAGATTTACCAAGCAAATGGAGAGAAAAAACAAGCAGGAGTTGCAATTCTCATCTCTGATAAAATAGACTTTAAAGCAACAAAGATCAAAAGAGACAAAGAAGGCCATTACATAATGGTAAAAGCATCGATACAACAAGAAGAGTTAACGATCCTAAACATATAAGGACCCAATACAGGAGCACCCAGATACATAAAACAAATTTTTAAGGACTTACAAAGAGACTTAGACTCCCACACAATAATATTGGGAGACTTTAACACTCCACTGTCAATACTAGACAGATCAACCAGACAGAAAATCAACAAGGATATCCAGGGCTTGAACTCAGACCTGGAACAAGCAAACCTGATAGACATTTACAGAACTCTCCACCCCAAATCCACAGAATATACATTCTTCTCAGCACCACATCACACCTACTCTAAAATTGACCACATAATTGGAAGTAAAGCACTTCTCAGCAAATGCAAAACAAAAAAAAGTATAACAAACAGTCTCTCAGATCATAGTGCAATCAAGTTAGAACTCAGAATTCAGAAACCAACACACAACCGCACAGCGTCATGGAAACTGAACAACTGGCTCTTGAATGTTGACTGGATAAACAATGAAATGAAAGCAGAAATAAAGAAGTTCTTCAAAACCAATGAGAACAAAGACACAACATGCCAGAATCTCTGGGACACATTTAAAGCAGTCTCTAGAGGAAAATATATAGCAGTAAGTGCCCACATGAGAAGAGTGGAGAGATCCAAAATTGACACCCTATCGTTAAAATTGAAAGACCTGGAGAAGCAAGATAAAAAAAAACTCAAAACCTAGCAGAATACAAGAAATAACTAAGATCAGATCAGAACTGAAGAAGACAGAGACACGAAAAACCCTTCAAAAAATCAATAAATTCAAGAGCTGGTTTTTTGAAAAGATCAACAAAATAGACAGACTACTATCCAGACTGATAAAAGAGAAAAGAGACAGCAAGCAAATAGATGCAATAAAAAATGATAAAGGGGAAATCACCAAAGATTTCACAGAAATTCAAACAATCATCACAGAATATTACAAACAACTCTATGCACATAAATTAGTAAACCTGGAAAAAATGAATAAATTCCTGAACTCCTGTGTCCTCCCAAGCCTAAATCAGGAGGAAGCAGAACCAATAACAAGGTCAGAAGTTAAGGCAGCAATAAAAAGCCTACCACACAAAAAAAGCCCAGGTCCAGATGGGGTCACAGCCGAATTCTACCAGACACACAAAGAGGAGCTGGTATCATTCCTTCTGAAACTATTCCAAATAATTCAAAAAGAGGAAAGCCTTCCCAAATCATTTTATCACACCAACATCATCCTGAAACCAAAACACGGCAGAGACCCAACAAGAAAAGAGAACTTCAGGTCAATATCCATGATGAACATAGATGCAAAAATCTTTAATAAAATATTGGCAAGCCGAGTGAAACAGCACATCAAAAAACTTATCTATCTTGATCAAGTAGAATTCATCCCAGGAATGGAAGGATGGTTCAACATACGAAAGTCTAAAAACGTAATTCACCACATAAACAGAACCAAAAACAAAAACCACATGATTATCCCAATTGACACAGAGAAGGCATTTGACAAAATTCAACAGCCCTTTATGCTAAAACCCTCAATAAACTCGGTATCGATGGAACGTATCTCAAAGTAATAAAAGCTAATATCATACTGAATGGGCAAAAACTGGAAGCATTCCCTTTGAAATCCGGCACTAGACAAGGATGCCCTCTCTCACCACTCCTATTCAATATAGTACTTAAAGCTCTAGCCGGAGCAATCAGGCAAGAAAGAAAAATAAAGAGTATTCAAATAGGAAAGGTGAAAGCCAAATTGTCTCTATTTCCAGACGACATGATAGTATACATAGATGATCCTATCGCCTCTGCTCAAAAACTCCTGAAACTGATAAGAAACTTCAGCAAAGTCTCAGGATATAAAATCAATGTGCAAAAATCACAAGCCTTCCTCTACACCAATAACAGACTTAAAGAAAGCCAAATCAAGGACGAATTGCCATTCACAATTGCTACAAAAAGAATATAATACCTAGGAATGCAACTTACAAGAAATGTAAGGGACCTCTTCGAGGAAATCTACAAACCACTGCTCAACGAAATAAGAGCGGAAACAAGCAGATGGAGAAACATTCCATGTTCACGGTTAGGAAGAACCAATATCGTGAAAATGGCTATACTGCCCAAAGTAATTTACAGAATCAATGCTATCCCCATCAAGCTACCGTTGACTTTCTTCTCAGAACTGGAAAAAACCATATGAACTTCATATGGAACCAAAGAGCCCGCATAGCCTAGTCAATTCTAAGTAAAAAGAACACAGTGGGGGACATCACACTACTGGATTTCAAACTATACTACAAGGCTTCAGTAATCACAACAGCATGGTACTGGTACCAAAACAGAG